TTCTGAGGTTCTAGTTGCAGAAATATATGGTATAGTTCAGACTTTCTCAGGTTTTCATCAACATGCATTCCATTTGCATTCAATCATTGAATCATATCATGCTTTAATGCATATGCAGTTGGGGTTTTATTAGCTATCACACTATGATATCACACTATTATCAAGAACACTATCAAGAATAATTACTGCCTTAGAAGACAATTTTTCTCTTACCCACGTTGCAAAATTTTCTTGGTTCATCTAATCATGGTAGTCGCCAGATACAGAACCAGCTTTGCAAGTTAGTTCCGCGTCATTAATGAAACCATTGTTCCCACCTGCATGAATTAAAATTAATCTAAATTAATCTAACTGATGCACTTATATTTGCCGTTACACCAATTATATCATGCAGCCAGCACTTTTTAAATACTAAGCTGTTGTCAATCCACGTTTCGCCAATATACACTATTTCACAGCCTTCTTCCCTTAACTTCCTCCTGTGAACGAGATATCTTGCTCTCCAATCGATAATGTCTACTCTCTCGACCAACACTTCGCGTTTTTTTTAAATTTGTTGAGTCTATATAGACGCAACGTGTCTCCTAGCTCCTTAAGGAACGTTGAGTGCACTGAAGTAATCTTCCGTTATTAAACGCCCTATAGGCGCCGCTGTGTAAGTATTAGTGAAGTCAGGGAATCGCCGAAAGGTGGCGTCTTCGCGCTCGTGTCTCGCACGCGCCCTGCGTCATTACCCATCGGCCAGAATTGGGAAGGAATAAGGATAGGGCTAAGGTTAAGGTCGCTTCAAAGGGGTTTACTAGCCCCTGTGAAGAAAGGAAATTGGTGTTTCGTAACAAATTTCACATGAGGTTCTACGGGAATAGACCCTGGAACCTGTGGTGCAAGCGACTTCACCACTGAGCCACAATAACTCGCTAGGACGCTTTGAATTACTCTTCTTCCAACTGAATCTCATCTTCGTGAACCTCCAAAGTGACTTTTCTCCCCAAGCAAAATTTATTTTTTTCTTTTATTATAGGTAGCAATTTCGATACAGTAGGTACTTGCTTTTCCCGGACATAAAAATCAAAGACAGCATTTCTAATTACGCACATGTCAAACTCATCGATTTTCACGGCGGTTTCACATCGTTTCACGAGTCACTGATTTTTTTCTTACCAGGTGAAGTAAGTCGCCTGTCAGCACTGGTTTCATTTTGTGTATTCCTTTCTTTACTAATTGTTTTAATGCTAGTTACTCCAACACCAGTATATGCCGCTGCTCTTTCTGTGGCTTTTGTCAGAGGAACTAGCTGACGAGATTGTCTCTTTTCGTTATCACATGCCTCAATTACACTCGCTATGATTTCCCGACCTTCACTGTGAATTGTCGAATTCGGTTTCCGCTGCGCCATTTCGCATCTAATTTTCGCGCATTCTGCACCAAAACCGAGCTGATGTTTGTGAAACCAATGCATTGACCAAGCACGAGCTCCTCTTTCCTAGAGCCCATGTGTGACTCATGGACGCCTGCCAAAGAAGTCCTACAGCACATCACCTTACCGCGCTCCTTGCACTTCGCGGAAAAACGCACACCCCTCCCACGGGGTCGGAGAACTCGGGACCGAAGTATATTGGACAACGCTCGTAAATGGCGAGAAAGAATAGGGAAACAAAGACATACAAAATAAAATAAAATACATTACTGAAAATATTTCTAAGTAATGAAAAACTAGGGGATGTAAAACACCGCTCATGTATTGAGCCTACGCCACTGCTCTACTATATTTTCGCCATCCGATTTTGCACTCATCAATTTCTACGACCGAGTCGGTTCTTGCAAATATCTTCTGTCCATAACATCCATGCAAACATCACGCAGAAATTATAGCCACTTCGCAAATTTTGTGTGACAATGTTTTGCCTGCGTCGGAACAATGGATTACAGTATCTTCTTCGGTACATTTATATATATGCAGTAATACATCGTTCAAAGAGATTGCCCCACAGTTAATTTAACATTTGCAAAAATCGTACTCTTGTTGCAGCATTTTCACCCTTTGATGATTCTTTTGACGCGAGAAGTCTCCAAATCTCTTTCCTCTGTTTCGAATAGCGATTAATAATACCCCACAATCCGTACATGGCACTTGAGTGGGAATGAGTCGATGTTCACGACACCATTGACTGCACTGGCTGCAACCACACAGGCTGTAACATTTCCCACATTTTTTTGATAAAGTCATCCAATTCATATTCTGGTTTATGTTGGAACGACAAACCATATTGAATTCTACTAATATCTTCTTAGATTACGAAAGTTGGAAGAACGAACCGTGAATATGTACTTTTGTTGTGATGGCAAACCTATAGTGACATATGAAGAACGATACCCGCTGTCCTCTAACATGTAAAGAACAGTGGCGAAGCGTGAGGTTAATTTTTGGATAAGCTGAGTCACGAACTTTTAGTAAACACATACTTTATTTGTGAAATATCGAAATTACCAAGAAGTTTACCAAGAGATCAGAAGACTAAGAATATAATAATAAATATTAATACTATTAATTCAACCATGCAACAATACTGAAATCAAGAATAAGTTCTTGTATATTTCCCATCCTTTTGTAAAATAGTTCATTTTGATCTGTTTATTTTTTCAATTGCACTCTTTGTTCAAAAGATAACACCTCAACTGAATTACTCAACAAAAAGTTAACCAAACCTAATGAATCACTATCTACAGTCATAGAATCTTCCATTTGGTCATGTGGTTATAATGACAGAAAACCTAAACTATTCCCTATATTTCAATTATAAAATAAAACAATAAAACAAAACTACCATAATGCATATGTGATATATTGTTATTGATCAAATGACACTTCACTTGTAACCTACACACGAACAAGCTATTGAAGAAGCTTACGAATTTACTTTTTTGATCTTTCTACAACACAATACGACTAGGAGATTCACACTCTCGCCGCCATGCCAACCTATAAATGCTCAAAATTAACCTTTTTCTAAATTATTCGGATTTATTAAAAGCTATCAAAAAGTTTAATAATATGGGAGAAAATGTGAACTTTTTCAATAGTTTGTTCATTTCAATTCGAGTTTCAATTACTTACACAGTAAAAAGCCCGGCCTATCATTGCGTGGGACACCATACCAGCCTACTCTGTGCACATGCGCGCTCACTTCCCCACGCCCCGTCGCTGGTCTAGTGACACCATAACGCGTTGGGCGGACGAGACTCCGCCTCGCCCAGGCCTCGCCCGCCTCTCCGAGTGGCGAAAAGCCACATCGCATGGAATAAGCATAAGAACAGAAAAAAATAACTTGGCGCGCCTAGGTACGGTATTAATTGGCTAAATATGACATTATGAATATACAATTTTCTTTTTTTAGTGAGATGTTTCTCACCTTCAAAATTCTTTGGGATAGCTCAGCAAAATCTGCGTACCCTGACGCTTCGCCACTGACAAAGAACAGTCGAAAATTATTTAAATTATTATCATTGAGAGCAATATTACCTGCATTAAACTGTACTAATCTTTGGGGAAAATACAGACTGTTCCTAAATATAGTTCCAAAAATGTTGGTATTTTTTTCACTGTGTGGAGAAACATTCAAATCTTAGTAATCAAAATTTGACATAATTTGAATGTGTTAAGTCAATATCACTGTAAAGTCGCGGTGCTTTGTTTCAACATTAAAACCTCAGCATTTCTATTGTTCATTAAAACCACGAAAATTCATTGCCACTGACATATAGCCTAAAATAAATACGTTTTTCTCAGAATTTATAAAATGTCACTTAAACCATTGTTTTTTCCCATACATTTAACGCATTAATTTTTCAATGTACGTTTTAATATCTTTTTTTAAATGTTTGCCGTTTCCTGTGCTGAATTAACATTTTCACTGTTGAATGTCACGCGTTTAAAATATGTTGCCCCTAGTGATTTTAATGTTAGCATCTTTTATCAAACGATTTTCGATATTTTGCTCTCCAAGTTTTAATAAACATTTGATGCCATAGAATTCAACACAGGAAACTTCCAACATTTTAAAAAATATGATAAAAAGTGCAATATTTATTAATATTACGTGTCTTTATTGCAATTAATAAATTGAAAAATTAATAGTTAAATTATCTTAAATTCTGGTTATTTTAATGATTATAGTTCCTCCATTCCGTGAAAAAGTTTTTGGAAGCGTGTTTAGGAACATTCTGGGTGTTTTTCCAAACGATTATTGAAGTTTACTGTATGTAATATTTCTCTTGATAATACAAAATTCTAAAATAAATATTTAAAAAGCCGACGGTTTATAAAAAAACATGTGGAAGTAGTCACTTCTACGCTAATAGCACAGGGGCTCGAAATTCATTGACAGTTTTCATAACCGATGTAAGGGCACGCGGAACCAAATGTTTCCTACATTTCATTTTCTTATAAAGCAGCACTTTAGTATCGTCTCTGAGGTCATGATAATATTTACTTTGAACCGTTTTCAAAAAGAAAAAGGTAGTGACTTGACGTGTGTCGATAAAATGGTGCTATTTAAAATCCAATTTGTTCACAAAATTCACAGCCAGAAAAAGAAAGCAAATAGCCTTGTAAATAAAAAAGTGATAAGACACACGCACCTCGACAACCGCACAATACAGCTTCCAAACTTAAATATGCACACAATATCGAAAAGTAAAACTAAACTAAACAATCCATACCCACGAATTACACACGAGGTGAAACAAAGAGTAAATTTTACGATTAGTACGTCTTCTGGAAGTAAGGGGGGTCATTTATAAACTAGTAAATGCCATAACCTCGCTAGAATTCCGTATTGTTAAAAATAATAATAAGAATATTAGCAAATTTTCATAGACATTTTTATTTTTTTCAAATGAAATTTTGAAAACTGAAATGTTGGTATTTTCGAATATTTTCAATAGGTATCGCAAGCTTCGAGTTAGAAGTTGCAGTCACTCCACTGACAGAGGCGCATAACAGAGTGTACACTTCGATTTGAACATAAAGTCCATTGGCACTTCTTCAAGTGAGATGCAGCCATCCAATTGGAAGCTTTAACGGTTTACAGAGACGTCACTATATTGTCGTACAAGCTCTCGATTGGTTTAAAGAGTCATAAGTGACGAAGTGTCAACGGACTAGTTTTAATGGAAGTATGGTACGTATGGTACTATGCAGTGACATTTGAAACAAACACGTGGCGTTTGAGATACCGGGTATCGAATGAGTGGAGATCAATAGTTTAAGCGAATGATTCTTTGATGTAATATTTTGCTTCAGTAAATGAATGATTCCGGATTCGTTTGTATATTGTTGCTGTTTTTGAAATTATATTTTAGATTCGACTTTTGAAGATTAGGTTCATGAGTTTCACATACAGCGAAAATGATTTTATATTCGAAACGTCGTGGGGGGACAGTGCCAAACTGTCATCTTTTGATGTGGCTTTACAGACGAAATGGCAATCAGCTGTTGATAATGGGTATTTTAGATACACTTTAAATATATTGAATACCAAACGCCTTCCTGGGAAGTTTTCATTTCTAGCACAAGTATGAAACGACATTACCAAGCTGTATGTTTTATAATCCAATTTTTATAATTATATGATCTCTTTTTTTCCTTAAGCTGAATCCAGATCGTGGCACTAATAGGAGACCACCAGAAGACATTAATAGTTTAACCCAACCTTTTGATCACAAGAAGTTTAACTTTACAAAGATTAATGAAAATGAAATTTTATTTGAAGTCAAAAGAAGAGAGAAAGCAGAGTGTGAATTGAAATCTAGAGGCAAAGATTTGTTAGTCATAAATATTAGTCCCTTGGAATTTGGACACTCCTTGTTTTTGCCTGAATTGTTTTCTTGTCTCCCTCAAGTAATGACGTTATATAGTCTCCAGAGAACTATTGAACTGGTTTTGTTGAGTAAATCTCCGTAAGTGTGGTCTGAGTGTAGGAATAGAATGCTTTCAATAAATTAATTTAGTGGTAGAAAAGTGCTTGAAATTGTTTTGCCCTTTAGTACTCTACGTGCTGGTTTCAACAGTTTGTGTGGATTTGCTACAGTTAATCATCTACATTTCCATCTATACTATCTTAATCATGAAATGCTGCTTGAAAACATTGTGAGTAACAGCTACATTAATTTTCTTTATTAATTCAAAATTGTAGACAAAACAAATACTCTTCTATAATTTCTTGTACAAGTATTTAAAAAAATAAAATTATTTTAATTGTTAAAAAATTAATAACTAACTTCACAGTTCTTCATTTTTGGTATGATGTTTCCATTAACATAAATAAAATATAACGAAGATCTCTTTGAGGCAAATTCTTTTGCCTTCAGTTAATCTCTTGTTGTAGTTGTGTTAAATTCTTTTGGACAACCACTTTGAACTTTGGTATTTGAGGATAGGAAAATATTCTCCTTTGAGTGTTCCAGTGTATTTTGAGCACTACAATGAAAAAGATATTTAAAAAGAGTGATTTGATAGTGCAAGTAGTTAATTTGCTGGGTAACTGCTTGTTTTGAAAGTTTTTTAAAATGAGATGCATTTTTATGTTGTTACCGAAATTGACATTTCTTTATAGCAAGTTGAACATCTGTGTGGAGAGTGTTATGTGTTAACAAAATATCCTGCGAAAGGCTTTGCTTTCCAATTGAGTCGAGATCACAATCTACTTTCACTTGCCAGGTATTCAAACTTTTCATTCAACATTCCTTATTTATCTTCTCTTTTGCTGGTATATATAGTTAAAATAATTTTACAAAAGTGCAAGTTGTTAATAATCTGACACAAATTCATAAAATTACTTTTGTCAATAATTTTAGTAATTATTAATTGTACCTTTTTTTGGGTGCTGTATTTTTTATCTTAAAATAAATGTTATATTCAGTAGTAATAAGTTTTGTAATTCTACTTTTTGCTATTAGTTCTGTGCACAAGTTAACTAGTTACTTACAAGAGTGTAATATTGCTCACAATGTTTACATTACACGTGGTCAATCATTTAACTCCAACAAAGAAAGAAAAATATTAGATTCTGTGCGTGTGTATGTTTGGGCCAGGAAACATTCAACAGGTCAGTAAGAGATATTGTAGAAGTCATTCTTCTATTTTTAATTCTAAATTGTAACGATATGTAATTACTAAATGTTTAATATGTGTATTTTTTATAACAGAGCCAAAGAACGTTCAATGCTTTGATCCTGCAATTTGTGAACTGTTCGGACACTTGGTTGTGAAAGGTATGTGATTCAACATTATTAGTGCAATATTTATCATTCTTTTACCCAATGCATACCATTATATGTAATGGGGTTATTACAAATTTTGAAATTTCACAAATGTTTATCAGCCCAGAAATTTCTTCAAAGATCCTGAATTAGAAGAAATTTTTGGGTGTAGAACTCTTTCGTGTTTATCTCATAATAGAAGAGCAAAAAATCTCTTGTTACCGAAGTTCTTATAAAAAAACAAAAAAATTATGTGATTTTCACTCTCTATTGTAAAGTGATGAGATTGAGCTTACAGAATCCAAGGGTTTCTAGTTCTTAAAGTAATAGTCATACAGTTGTATAGCTAGTGACTATCTGTGGCACAGAATGAGGGGAAATAAGTGAGACACAATCTACTCAGTGAAGGAAAGAAAATAAAATGAAAATATTATTAGAGCATTTTAAAAGTGGAGGGTAAAAGTTGTACCAAGTCAGCAGAGTTGTGTTGAGCCTGCAAAAACAAGAAAACTAAAAGAGTATAGCCTCAGATGGATCATCAAGGGTAATTGAGATCACTAAGGTGAAAACCCCAAAGTAGTCTGGGCTTGAAGGGTCATGGGTTCAAATGCCACCTTAGGCATTGGATGTTTACTTTAGTGTTGTGGCAAGGCGAAGCTTATTTCAACCACCATTAAGCACTAACCCTTTTCTTCCCAGTCCTCTCGCAGCCTGAATGTACACTGCCCGTCAAAAGGTTTTGGATACCTGTTAAAGTCTTTTTTTGTCTCGAGGTGCCTTGATTGTGCAACCCAAACCCAGGGAACTGATGTAGTCTTTGTCTCAATTTATCTTGTGTAGATAAACATTACTTAGGAATCTTTATATTCCTACTCAAGAGTACTCATTGATGCAAAGTGTTGGGTGGCTGAGAAAGCCACAGTTTGCTGTCATGTGCGACAGAGTTTGGACTGTAAGGTACACCATGGTTTCTGGCTCATAGTGGTTCAGAATTGATAAATAACTTGAACAGGTTATGTAAAATAATTCATCGAAGCTATTGACTGTGAAAACTTATGAATGGGATGCCAAAAATTGTCCAGAGAGGTATTCTGGCAAGGGGGGACTTTTTTTTTTTATGAAAAGACAGATTTTTTTATGAAAAAAAAGTTTCAAAATGTATCATTTTATTCACCACCAAATCTCCCTGTCTGTATGAAGGTACAGGTACTGCCAAGGGCTTATGATCTGAGTGGCAGTTCTCTGCCACAATAGTTTTATGAGATACAGCAGAGTGAAAGCTAGGGTTAAGATTCCCTAGGATGAAAAAAGACAGTGGAATGATTTCCTGAGGGCAGGGAGTGCCAGGTGATGACCAAGAGGTTAAAGCAGATGTTTAAAATATCCAATGATGACGATTGATGTGTATAGCTTCAGATGAGAAACAGACCTCAGTCTCTCTTTTTAGGCTTAAGTTTCTTTTAGCAAATTCTGTGCATTCATTGCGGTGAAATCAAAGTAGGGGAAGGAAAATAGTGTATCCTCCATTGGAAGTGTAAAGCATATCACTTCAGCTGCTGAAGTAGGTATAACCATTCTCCCATCTGCACTTCCATACACAGAAACAGAGAGATATGGAGAGACAGTCAGACTGAGACAAAGAGGCAGAGGACAGTGACACATGTTAGAGAGAGAGACACACAGTTTTATTTTTCACAAGGATTGAATATGAAAAAACCCAGGCAATACCGGGTATTTTGTTAGTACTATATATAGACAATGGGATTCATTTGTGAATCTGGAGGATTCCTTGGGGGTACATTTCTGAAATTTGATAATAAAAATTTGATTTTAATAATTAATTTTTAATATTGTTCTGCTGTGAGTGATATTGAAGTTATTAGAGATGAACTTAAGTGATTTTGAAGTTCAATATCTTTAATAAATACAGAATTTTTGTTTAAGAATTCAACTCAAATTATGAAACCTATATTGTTTTATAAATTGTATTAATTTAAAGCAGTATTTTCCATCCAGTTGTTCACGTACCCCAGAACTTTGTAGGGTTTTGAAATGTTCACAAAAATGATGTTGTAATGATTGAATTTTAAATCTTAAACGTACACAAACTTACATAGGAAAAGGGTTGGAGCTGCTGGTGTAGAGGAATATGACGTTAGCGAATTTACAATCAAATTGGTCAAATGTTTTCAAAAGAAAGAGTTACAATTTTACTATCCCCTTTATCGATCCATTACTGTTCAGAAACTTAACTTGATAGATTCTGAGATTTCAGTTATTTCATTTAAATGAATAGGTGACATACCAGCTGAGATGGCTGGGGGCAACAATTGTTTGCCACTATAGAACCTCTAACCCAGAGGTCATACGATTAAAGTCCTGATGGTGGTGAATTTTCAACACTAAGTAGTTGATTGAATTCAACTGCTGTATGGAAGAGAATTTTAGTGGCCAGCTGCTCGGTTCAGGAGTTCTCCAGGATTTCTCTGATCAGTGTGATCACCTAATGATCATGTCAGATGGGTCAGACTGGATCATTTTCAAAAGCAATGAGCTATGGATCACATTCAATCTTTTCTTCCTCATTGTGTCCTTGCATATAATTGAGATAACATTAGATATTTCTTAGATTACATTTTCATCATGATGACTGATGAGGAGCATTGATGTTGTTAATACTTCTGTGGACAATTTGAGAATTAACTGTTTACCTCTAGGACTTCAATTTTGTTCAAAGCTGTTTAGAATGTAGGTCATCTATGAAGTGGATCACTCAGAGGTGTGATAGTTGTTTTTTTGTCCTTCGTATTGGTCTCTCATGATCATAATCATCATCATTCAGTCAGAGGTAAAAGTCTTTGATCTGTGAGTAAATTGAAAAATTTCCTCTCGTATGCACATGTTTATGAATACATGCACTCTAGCACTCAAAGAAGAATAAAACGAAGGCAAGAAAAGCATATGAAATGGGAATGCTCTTGGTGCATTATTATTTTGTATCTTCTTTGATTTTCAGTACAAAACTGAGGTCTGTGTCATAATATGTTATTAGATCAGAGGTGTTCATCATAACATTGTGTTACAATACTCAATTGGTTATCAAAATCAACATAATGACTTTCTTTGATTATCTTCTTATCTCATATTGTAGAAAGATGTTTTAAAAAAATCTTTCAATACTTGTGACATAAATAAATATTATACACACAATAATTTAATTAATAATAGCATAAGTAATTGTTTAGTGACTTTTTTAAGCAAAAACAAAAAATTGAAACTCATCTGCAATTTTCAAGTTCAGATCTTTTGTCAGTTTTATCAATTGTCCATATGTAGATGGATCACTAACACGTATAAAATGAAAGTCTTCAAGTATTGCCACTATTGAAATGTATTTATTCACTAAAATAAATGTGTGCAAGGGAGTTTTTAGAAATTTAATAATATTTTATCTTTTAAACAGAACTATGTATTTTTCTCGACAGTAATGAATACATCTTAGAAAGAGGAATTCAACGATGTATCATATGGTAGTATTTCAATAGTAATTTGTGTACAAATAACGGCGAAGTTGGCTCAGGCATCAACTGATGTCACTGCAGTGCCTCTGAGCAGGTCGGCCTAGGGTTCGAGTCCCGACGGTGGCAGGATTTTCGGCACTAGTTTGTCGGCAAGTTCGAATTCAGCCGTGTGCTGTCTGGAGGAGAATTCTAGCGGCCGGCGACTCTGATCGGTAGTTTTCCGTGTTTTTTTGGTTTGACATTAGGCGAATGCCGGAAAAGTACCCTAACAAACTGGCCACGGACCGCGCGCGAACCTTCCTTCCTCTTTGTTCTTTCCTCACCCCTTACCTTTCAACTCACATTCTCTTGCACTTAACTACCACACAAGTTGGGAGACCACTCGAGAGCTTAGAGCTTGTTCCGGCTGGGGCAGTGCCTCGCTGGTGGGAGATACCTAATTGGGGAAATTGCCCCTATCGACGTAGGTCGGCGCCAGATCTCGCCATCCAGCGGAAGATCACCGCCACCTCCCGCGATAAAAGCACGTATGACGCTTACTGGACTAATGACCTTAGATGTTGGCGAGACCGGAATCACTAATCAATCAGTCAATCTGTTGAGTATAAAATTAACCTCCTGACATGTGATTTTAAATTAAACGGACAATATTTTGGTGTGGAAAGGGGGGTTAGAGGTGTAACTACAGCAATTCATGGTCTTGTCGCGACTGACACTGAAACAAACAGGATTAACGATGAGAATGAAATATTTCGTTCGTTGATTCATCAGAATTAAACTTCTCTTCTGGTTGAATTCCAAAGCATCGATGATCGATGTTACAGTATAGCGTCGCAAATGGATGTAGTGAGTTTGTCAACCCTTGCACACATGACCGTAGATGTACATTGCTGTGGATAGGGAGACATATACGGATGGGAGGGAGAGGGCATGTTTGTAGTTTAGTAATTAATTTATATGCATATTGTATTATTTTTCTATTGTTATTTATGTCTTTTTTAAAGTTTTTTTAAGAAATTTTGTGTCAAACAGGCAGACGTTATTTTCTTTAAACATTTTTTCTTAAAAACGGCAACAAAATTTTTGATTAAATTTGGAACTTGGCGTAAATGTCGCTTATGGTGCAGGTCTCATGTTCGTTAAAATGTCTGATTTTCGAAAATTGAAAAAAAAATTGCGTTTTCCTACAATTACAAAAGTGAAGAAACATTTTTTAAATGAAATGTATTAATCAAAAACAGATCTCAAATAAGGTCATGTTCAATTTTTAGAAAATAATGAATTTTTTTATGTAATATCGCGTCAAACTTAGTCGTCCGCTTCGAATTTCCTGCGCTTCGTGAACATAATGAGAGTGATTCCAGGTAGTTGAATGCTACGTAAGTTAGAATTTGTAATTTTTCGTATTTCTTTGGTCTTTTCTTACATTGGAGCTTTTGTTTTATGTTTACAAATTAATCTTGTAGAAAAAAATTGAAACCTATTTGATAATTCCTATTTTTTGTATTGATGTATTTTCTTTCGAGCATTCCGTAAACTTTAATTAAAATGATCCCAATTAAGTTTTCTTTTTAAAAACTAAGATTTAAATGTAATATGAAGAAATATTTCTAGCTTTCGGCGAATATCAGATTCGATTGCAACAATGGCGTTCCGCTCTGCGAAACAGCTGAATTTCGGACTCTACGAGGAGAATTACGACTCTTTGTTAGGACACGATGAAGTTGTATGAAAAGCAATTATAATTGTCAACTTTTTGTTATTTGCTTGAATATATTTAGTTCTTGCACCACATGTAATACGATTTGTAATGAGGTTTAGAAAAAATGAATATTGAAAAGTGTTAGTTCGGAGAGAAATTGTAGTATAAATAGTCTTACATAACCATTGTTAAGGGCGAGAAAGTATGTGGTGTTTTAGCACCATTAGTTATAATCTGATGTTCTGGAGATACTACAGTGACTATTCCACTCGTGAAATTAAAACCAATAGTGTTTAACTATACATACAAAATGGCACAATTAGGGTAGTGTATCTCCAAAAATGTATCGCTTTTTGTATCAGATTTTTCTTACTGCTTCTCCCTACTGGCCAATAATACGCTGCTACTCATCTATCTTCGGAGGCGGCATAATCACATCGCTGTATTGACGTGCATAAACCGCGTATATACTACAACATATCCTCTTTGATTTTAACATGCTCTCAGTTATTTTGAGTATTTGGCTTTGCTTGTATTTGAAGTGTTTCAAAACGCTCACTTGTTCTTACAGCCATTATACATCGAGTTCAATTCTTGATAAGTTTAAAAATGACTTTTGTGAGTATCGTCCTTACACTATTAATTTATTTATATTATCTCAGTCAAACTAAATCAAAAAAATAGCGATCGATGGAAAAAATCGGAGTTTTGAAACTCAGCATAATTGTTGGCACCTGCTGCATAAATCCTGAAGTTTGAGGGTAAGCGAGGGGTGTGGCGGCCCTTTGAAGGTGCGTTTTCGACATTTTGCATATATCTCCATAATTATCAATTCCACAGAAAAGTATGTTCTATACAAAATTAAAGAGGAGAACATTCCCTACAAAACAGTTCATATGGGATTTTGTTGTAAAAGTAACCATTTTAGAGTTATAGGCTTGAAAAGTTCTCGTTTTGGTTTACAAGGCCCAAGATATTTCTTATAAAAATGAGGTTTTGGTAAGTTCAGTGCACGGAAGTAATTCTATTTTTGTTCAGTATTTATCAACAATATGTATTTGCATATTTTGCGAAAAAACAGGAACACTGTACATCTTTACAAATCTTAATTCGTATATAGACTTGTGAGTACCGTGGTCATTGGGGTCCGAGATTACATCAGTTACGAAAACGGATCATTCATAATTTATTCTTGTGCGGATCCACGGGGAGGAAAATCCCCCCCCCCCTAATTTTTTCAGTAACTATTAATTTTCACTTCTCACGAAACTTTCAAGGAAAATATTTTCGGATAATCAATAAAACGAATAAAATCGTAGTGCAGCAGGAACTGGGTGTAGCCTTTTTACAAAACCTGTAATACGACTCATTCGACCAAAACATTTTTTAATTTCCCCTCCCAAACTTTTTCACTGTATCCGCCCCTGGTGTATTTGATAAAAATCAAGTGCACATATTTGGTCAAGATTTGTATCAACATACAAATTACATAAAACAATACAAATAAAATATTCATGCTTATCGTGAGCATTGAGAGACACCTAAAACTGAGTGTGTCATTGCCACGAACGTCAATATTTGACGAGGGGATCGACTGATTAGTGAATTGGGGGAAGCCCCAACAATTTAAAATCTCACACTGTTTAGACAGTTTTGCATTGAGTTATGTTATATTTCTAATGATTGCCTCATTTAAACGGGACATTTGTATTGTTTTATGTAATTTGTGTGTTGACAGTGTACACATTTCTTTACCAAATATTTGAACTCGACCCTTATGAAATAAACTCTGGATTTTCAGTTTTCGTACCCGAATAGTACTCTAGTACCGCAAGAACACGGATACTCGCAAGTCGATATAAAAAATAAAATATATAAAGGTGTCAAATGTTCCTGGTTTTTGCACATCATTGTTTTCCTCTTTTTACGATCTATCCATTGCTGTCGAGAAAAATAATACTAGTTCCATTTAAATAATAGAAGATTAAATTTATGTAAAATTGAAAATATTACTAACAATTTCTCTACAGCATATTAATTGCCGAAATGTACACAGCAAACAGTATGAAGGTTGATTGAATTTGAAAGAATTCTGAATGCGTAGCATAATGAACTTTTGTGTTCAATTCATTTAAATGGCCGTTCCATTTGAAGTTTGACTGAATTGAGAGTCCTAAAAATTTTGTTACTTTGTTAGTCAATGGCACATCGTTCAGTTTCAATGGAGTTCAGAAATGTTTATTGAAATGGAAAACTATATTGTAACATTTTATCAATTACTATTAATATGTTATTACGGAACCAATTTGAAAACCATATATTGTACTATTTACGGTTTCTTAATTTTCAAAGAGTATTCGTATCATCCACAAGAGAATTGCTTTACCATTTCGATTAGTCGAGGGCATATTGTTTACGTGTTGTAGGAAGAAAATAGGGCGTAAGTCGACCATAGCGGCACTCCATGTGCAATTTGCAAAGAATCGAAAGGTGTGTATATAATGTCCCATCATTCCAGTACGGTATTGCTACTGCGAGATCGTTGTTTAAAGCATGAACATAAGCTAGAGCAATATCACGAATTCCATACGAAGATAATTTTGTAAGTAAAATGTGATCAATGACGTCAAAAACTTTTGAAAGATCTAAAAATATTCTAAAAGTGCTTCATTTTGATCTATGAATGAAGTGACATCTGTAAGAAAAGAAAACATGGTTTTTTCCGTAGATTTTGATTTTCGAAATCCCCGTTCGCTATCTGACGACTCAAGTTTACTGAGTAAAGTTTTCATTCGTACGTTAAAAAAGTCTAATATTTAAAAAGAGAAATTGGACGATAATTTTGAATTACATTTTTGTTGCATTTTTTGAAGAGCGAATTAATCTTAGCTGCTTTGAAACGTTGCAATGTATAAGGATGCATTAAATATGTGAGTTAACGCGTGGTGCACTAGCCTGTAACAAACTCTATAATGGTAGGTGCACAAGTCTGTAACAAACAATTAGGAAATTCATGTAAATCGTCAGAATATTTATTTTTTAGTATACCCATTATTTTGTTAATTTCATAAGAAGTTTCGTGACTAAAAATTTTATAGGAACGTTTGATGTTGAATTTTGTGGCTTAACACCCATAGTGAGATTTAGAGTAATTTTCGAAAAATATTGGTTAATGAGACTAGCCACTGTTGCGTTTAGCTGTTCCGGATGTTTCTGCTGTACTGTCTAGATACACTGTTGAATGGTATTTGTTTATGGTGTTTTCATTTTGAACTGTGAAAATCAATTTAAGGAAAATATGATGATTCTGTTGATTATCTGAAAAATATGTTTGTTCTGAGAAAGTACTTTTGGGGAAACTAGATAGAAAAAGTGTGTTAATTTGTGCATTTATCTTTTGCCATTGCAGTGCCTGAACCATTTGGATCTTTATCAGAAAGCGAAGTGGCCAGTGAGCTGAGTGGTATCTGCCAAGAACCCTTTGACTTGGTTTTTGAGGATGTGAGGGAGATGTTTTGCGACTCAGATTCTCTGTAAAAGCAGTGGTTCACTATTTTTCATACAAATTTGATTCAGAAGTATTAATTTATTCACATTCAGAACTGTAGTATAGACTGGCATGTTTGTATTATATTCTGCACCCTAATTTTCTTATCACGATGGAAAGGTAATTTAAATATATTTGTAATGAGACTTTTAAAGTGTGAATTTTAAATCACAATTGTTATTGTATCATTGTAAAACAATGAGTGCACCCAATAAATGTTGTTTTAATTACATGAATTGTTGTGAATAAGTTGAAATCTAATTTGCTGAAAGCTAGTTTCCTGCTGCCTTAGTTGTTTTTTTTCAGTAATGAGTACTGAACGGTTTTCTTTGCCTTCAATCGTCCTCCTCCTCATATGTTCCTCCCGTATTGCGCTAATATATTATTTCATTTAAATGGAATTTAAACAGTAGAAACTACATGATTTCTCACATGAAATTAAACAGCATAAGATTTGTATATAAATCTGAATGTAACAATGTAACATACACGAGACTGCTATTCACAAAAATCGCTTGCTTCGAGAATGTGCTCAAGAAAGCCATTCGATATTCCCTTAGTAACCCTTGCTACGAGCACATATACGGATATAAGCTCTTTGTGTGCGCTTTAGATCGTGGTATGTTCTCCCTGATATCAGAAATCGGATCGCGTTATACTGTGTTAGTCTTCACTGAACCCATCAACACGAGCCTGCTCGCGGGGGTCTCATTTGATCTTACGCGCGGCTACATGCGGTACCGCGTTACAAATTTTTCGAATTTCTCGGAACAGTTGATGTTCTCACTACCTTTCTTTACCTACCCAAGGGAAAGAATTCCTTCGCAAACGCGCTCTCGCAACTTTGCATCGGCAGCCCTCCATCCACATTCCGTTTTTCTTCTTTGTTTTCTTTCTTTGTTCAGCGATATTGATTCATTACCTACGAAATTTGATAGAGACTGAACGCTGATTTGATTGCTCGATGGCTCATCACTGAGAAATTCGCCGCTGTTACATCCGGCTATCTGTGCCCCTGACTTGCCCTAACTCGGTTGTCTATATAGTTGGTGAAGCAAGTATAATCACTGTAGTTGGTACTTCGAGCGTTGCGACAGAATGAAATGAGCTTAAACAAACGGGAAGGTAATTTCAAGTTTAGGTTGGAATAGGTAGACTAAGAGAATTGTACACTTTGCCAGCTCACTCAATGGACAAATGAAGATGTGCAGCACCAAAAATTCGATAAAGCGGTTCCCAAGAACGATAGCAATCGTATCTTCAATGATTGAGAATGTGCCTAAATAACATTTTTCTTGGAAAACGAAAGGAATGAAAAGAAAGGTGCTCGAAGATAGAGAAAATGGTCGGTACTGTCACCCAGCAAAAAATAACTTTAGGTTCTTGAAACAAAGTACAGACTTTAAGTACACATTTGTGCTCATCCGGACAGGAGTGAAGAGTGTTGTAATGCAATGTGGACACAGAACTACAAGTTGATTTTACTAGTAAATTGAAGTTGGTAGTAATATTCTCGTGTTTTACTAGCTTTTGGTAGAAATGTAGATTAATATTTCTAGTGATGAAAACAATGGTGACAATGTTTCTTAGCCACTTGCTCAAATGGTGTAAAACGCTTATCAACAATTGGAGCTGCCTTGGAAAAAAAACTGCCGGTTTATTGAACGCGTTTGACTAAAATGAACAAAACGACACAGGAAGATCTACTGACGGATTTTACAAGAAATATTTTACTTGATGTGAACATATAAAACATAAAAAATAAAAGAGATACAAAGTCGCTCCCTCTACCACTGAAGTAACTAATTTGGTGATCATCCTACCCTCTAAAGTGGATAAATTCTGAACTTGTATTTTGAAAACAAATTATTCTATTAATTCACATTATTAAGATACACCAAGAATGTAATACAGGAAATGGAGCATTCATATATCTCAAAAAAAAATTGTTACTTCAATACATTTATGTCGATTTTGAAAAATCAAGTTTGCCCCTCTTGTTTTCATGGAAATATAAATAAACCATGGCATTGTTTTATTTCCCGCGCGCAACGTTTCTTGACCGATTGTCTACAGTTCCACTTCTTGGTACAATAAACAGTTAAGGTATAAGCTCGCAGAGAGCATTGATGACATTTCAAACACAACATATTTATTAGCGCGAAACAAGCTATTAGCCGTTGAAAAGCAGAATTAGTGTTCGTGATTTTCCTCGAAAACACCTAAAGAAATGGCAGAGGCATGCCCAGAACCTTCACAGGAGAAACCCCCAAACTTCTGAGAAAGATATAAGAATTCATAGCTGCGAACGCAAAATTTTGCGTGAAATGGGAAGCGTTTCAAAGAAACGTTTGAAACAAGCTTACAGAGATGATGCTGTAGGTTGTACACATGTTACGAATGGTTTGCACGATTTAAAAGTGGTCATCAGGCAACTGAAGATGATTCTCGACCAGGAAGGCCTTTGTCTTAAACTGATGACTTCACGTTCAGAAAATCAACGATCTGGCGTGTGTAAATCGTCGATTTACTGGCAGAGAAATTGCAGAAGAGATTGGCATAACTGGGTCTTGCAATAACATTTGGACTGAATTCAACATGCGTCTAGTCGCAGCAAAATTTGTCCTCGTTTGATAACTGAACAACTGAAAGAAAATCGTGTGATTAATTGGGGACAGTAGAACCATAACTGATCCATGTGATTTTTTTTCTTCCTAGTGAAATACATTTTTTCTTTTTGAGTTTTTCGCAAACAGTGATCCAAGAGCAAACAGCATCTTCTGTAGAAACTTCTCAATCTTCCACTGTAGAATTTATCTTACTTTGAAAAATATATCCTTTCATTCTGATCCAAGTGAAAACCACACTTGGATCGTTGTAGCAGGATGTATTATGCAGACGTCCCATCTCGAAAATACTGTAATGCAACTACACACGTTGGACGTCAATTTACATAATACGCTATCAGAAGGGGGAATTGCCGTCACACTTAACGTGAGACGGTCACTTTCAGACATCAGAGTGCACGCGCTGAATTTATTTCAAGAGCGCCAAGCGTACGCCTTACCTGCTATCCGGTCACCGGCATTGAACATCTCAGGAGTGAGCGCCCTGGGTCGAAGGTTTGCATTTGGCTGACTGACTACAAATAATATACATTTCTTTGTGTTACCATCCGACAAAATGGCGGGGAATGTTTATTATCGTGGTAAACTGTCTCTCTCACGTACAATTATTTGTTGTGCTTTCCTCTGGCTAATAATTAGTATTGGCGTGAATTCACTTACATGATGGTGATGGTGATGTCGCTACTTTACCCCGAAAGGATTCCACGTTCAATACCGGTCGGCTGCAGCGGACGATCCTGTGAAATGCCATAAGATTCTCCTGAAGTCGGCAGGAGACGCGCGGATATCCGACATCAGGCTGAGCGGGAGATCATCCGTGGCCGGAATGAAGAGTCGGTTTTTGATCCGCGGATCACAGGTTGTCACACGTCGCCTGGACCGCGTTTTGCCATTTGTAGTCCACTCCGGCATCCGGAATAAATTCCGATACTGAAATGAGGGCTGGTAGGATCGTGTGGAGAACAGCGATCGTTCGTTGCATGGCTGTTGTCTCCGTTAAACCAAAAACTGTCTCTCCGAGAGCCGACCGATCGCTGTCAAGCTTCTTTCTCCAATAATCCGTTCTTTTAGCGCCCTGAGCTCACCCGATTCCCGTCCCCACCCCTTCCGCAAGATGCGAGAGCTCTGTCACGTGCGTAACATGAAGCTTCTCATAGGCTTGTTAAAAAGTTTCCAGAACATCTATCATCCGAGCTCTGTGATTGGGTTAAGGGAACTACGCATCTCTGCAACCTTTACTTCGTAACATGCAATTGGTTGTTTGTTCTCCATCTAGTCCCTACGTGACGCGACACGCGTCCGCGACGCTTCTACGAAGCTTCGTGGTTTATTGCCCTTAGGGATTAGCTAGCGAGCTGCCCCCAAGTCTCTTAATACGTCTGTTCTGGGAGTCAATCGCCTATTGCCACCCAAAAGATCGAAGGGGTGCTTTTCGGAGGCGAGCGGACGCCGGGGAATCCTCGGGGGTCGGTGCGCGCAGCTGCGCATGGTGAATTTTGCCAAAAGCGCCCTTCGCTCGGAGTTATTGTAATGGGGCGTGACACAAGGGGTCGGGCTGTGCAATAGGTCATTGGGACTCATTGCAATATTGTTAAATACTACCTTGCGAACTGTCATACATAGATTTTTCGTTCTTAAGGCAAGAGCAAAACAAGAGGACACACGTATTTGAGCCTCAGGCACGGATGGACCTCGTGCGTGGCTGTCGAAAGCGTAAACCTTTCATTGTTCGACATATGACTGGCAAGTTTCTGGATTTTGAAAACATACCAAGAAACTACAAAGACTACAAAACTGTTTTCAGCGAGGGCGCAAGGATATCACAAATGCGAAAATTAAAATTCTTTAAAGACTCAAGCCATTTGCATTGGAATGACAACTATACAGAAACGTATAAAGGGATTGACCGCAAACCTCATGAAACATTTGCAGGCATTTCTGATAAACCTCCCCAGTTATATTCCAGCGCAGAACAGGACAGCAACTCCAACACACATACACACACGTACATAATGCAAGACATGAAAATAATTCTTGTCTAGCATGGAGAATATGATACAAAGTGCCCCAGCTTGAAACTGAAAAGCAAATCTTTCCTAAGGATTGTGACCACGAAAAAACTTTTTTCATGGTCTTTTAGATTCCCCCTACACATCCTTCGTAATAACGAAAAATGTGATTATTTAATTTAATTTTTTCATTGAACTGGCCCAATGAATTTCCATTGATGTGATGATTCTTGATGTGAAATTTACTCAATAAAAATACTTTTTTTATTTTCTGCAAAAATCAAACTTTTAAATGGATTTTAAAATGTTGGAATTTTTTAAAGCGAGATATAATTCTGTGGGGTGCATGAGAAAATTCACAACTGTTGCCCTAAAAATCAGCTGTCTTCTGGAACTTTTTGATTATTCTGACTGGTGCGCCATATCAAAAAAACAACATTTTTTTGTCCTTTTATATATACATATTTTTGTCCTTTTATATATACATATAGACATATTTTATTTTATATACAACTGTATAGAGATATGTAATTACAGTATTCCATACCTCTATACAGTTTATATACATACCTCTGTACAATATTACATACATCTCTAGCAACAATATTTGC